ATTATGTATACAACAATGTGTTTGATGGGAGCTCAGCAGTGGCCTAGTACCCCACCTCATGACCCATACCTAGTTAATTTCAAATATCAGAGGGCCTAGAAAGGAGCTTCTTGAATTCAAACACCTCAAGGGGAATACTTTCCTTGATTTCTTTTTTTTCCCTTTTCTTTTCCTACACACATTTTATTGTTTATTATGTTATTTTTTCATAGTTGTTCCAGATTTTCATTTAACTTCAGTGAGATATTTTCATGCATTCTCTATTGTCTTTTACTGTTTCATTTCCCCATCTTCTTTCTTTCTTAATTTTAGTTTTCTTAATTTTTAACATTTAGCTTTTTCTACAATGTTTCTGCTCCTTCACTTCTAGACTTTGTGAGTTTTTTCAATCTCAATGCATTACTAATTTTTTCTATATATTTTCTATATATATTTTATTTTGTGATTATAGTTTATAATTCTTTTATCTTTCATGTTAAATTCATTTTTAGATAATTATTTTTTAAAACTATTGTATATTGGATTGATTTCTTGATTTTTCACGTAGTTTCTTATTGGTATTTAGAAATATTAGCCACTCTTGTATATTCATCTTTTATCCACTAACATTATCAAGAATACTTCATCTGTTCTTTTTCATTCAAAAGATTTCTGGTGGAGTGAGTAAGCTTTGCTCTATACAAGATCATGTGGAATCAAAAAGGTGATAGTTTGACTTCTCCTTTTCCAATTTCAAAGAACTTTCTTTCTTTGATTAATCATTCTGAGTTGAACTTCCAATATTATATTGGGTAAGAGTGGTGAAAGTGAACATCCTTTTTTCGCTTCCAGACTTAGAGGAAAAAAATCAACTTTTTCCTATTCAATATCATGTTAACTGTGTGTTTTGAATATATAGCTTTAATTGTGTTGAGGTATGTTCCATGTACTTATAATGTACTTACAAGATTTATTGAAATTTACTGAATTTTATTGTGTACCTTCAATTTCCATTTGTGACAGTTGTTATTTTTACATGTTAGTAGCCATTTTCACTTGTGTGAATTGCCTATCCATCTCCTTCATCTATTTGTATACATGACTATTCATATTTTTGTTTGGTGATTTGTAAGATTTATAACTACTTGATGAATACTAATCTTGGCCATATAACCAAAAGTAATATACAGATTCAGTGAAATCCCTATAAAAGTACCAAAAAATGGCATTCTTCACAGAACTAGAAAAAAAGAGAGTCCTAAAATTTATTTGGCATTATCAAAGTCGTAGGATACCCAAAGTAATTCTGATCCCAGAAAGCAATGCTAAAAGCAACACAATGTCTGACTTCAAATTATACTACAGAGCTATAGTAACAAAAACTGCACAGTATTAACATAAAACACATATACCATTGGTACGGAGATGAAGATACAGAGAAAACCACACATATGAACAGTCATCTAATTCTTGACAAAGGTGCCAAAACTATACATTGGAGAAAAGATTGCCTTTTCTACAAATTATGTTGGGAAAATGACTCATCATGTGTAGAAGAATGAAATTATACCCTTTTGTTCCACCCTACACAAAAATTAACCACAAGTGGATCAAAGACCTAGGAATTAGACCAGAAACTATGGAACTCCTTGAAGAAAATGAAGGATCAACACTTCACCGTATAGGCATAGGGAACAACTTTCTCAATAGAAGCCCTAAAGCTCAGGAAATAATACCAAGAGTTAATAAAT